GAACTAATAAAGAATTTGAAAAAGAAGAAATAAAAGTTGTCTCATGTTTCCAAGAAGTGAGAAATGCGTGTATTTGGATGATTTCAAGAAATTGACATATTAAGTGGAAAAATTTAATAAAGGTATATTAGTAAATGAACACAAACAAAATATTCTACATTGGGAAACAAACCTATATATTTGGGATAAGAGAAAAAAGAAACTCAACCTATATAATTTAGTAATGTTATTAATCCTCAGTGGGAATGAAAACACAGTTTATATGGTTTTAAATGATAGGTTAAAAGAAATGTGAAATTAAATCATTTAATGAATAACATTACTCTATATAATTGGGACGGAGGGAGTAGATTAAACTCAACTTACCTTTAACTATTTGCCTGTGAAGGGCTACAAACAATTTATTATTACTTATTACAACACTCGACAGGCACACGACCCACGACCTAGAATCTGATTTACAATCATGATTCAAAAATTGTATTTCATGCAAGAAATTTTTTTAAAAGTTTTTTATGACGCTACAATGCATTATCGAGCGTATATTATCCCACCACTCCCTTTGTTCTCTCTTATTTTTATCATATTGCTAAAAATTTCAGTAAGTATAATACATCACCCATTTTTTGTGATGTCGTAGTAGCAATAGAACTTAAGTTTAGAAAATATTGAGAGGATTTGCTTACCTTTTTCCTGTTAGCTTATGTAATGAAACCTAGGTTTAATTTGGAGGGTACAAAAGTTAATAAAACCAGAATTTCATATAGATTAAAATTTGAAACTCTAATTACATATGGTAATACAGAGAAGTTTATATGAAATATATGATATTTATGTACAATTACAAAGATTGGGTAGTAACCTTCAAATGTCCCCTGTATCAATGCCTAATGCTACTGTGTTGTCACAAGAAGCCAAAGCTAATACCTTATACCCAAGGGCGAACCCAACACAAAAGTTGTCCACGCGGACATTGACCATTGATCGCAACAATCAGCAATCGTAAGAGCGACATCGTTTATTAATATTTTAAATTATTCAATATATATGTAACGC